TTAAACTAGATGTCAGCACTAATCAAAGATACAGGGATAAAAAAATAGACACTTTTATGACCGTTTTTTTTTTTCGAAAGTAACCGATCGTTAAGGGGGTTAATATTAAACGATAGCAACCTCACTAGATCAAGTTTTTCTAGAGACAATGAAAAAAGCGCGACGCATGTAGAACAATCCAATCCACAAATAGTATAACTATACTAAAACCGAATCACACTTTTCTTTAAATACAATAATAAACGAATTTATTATTAATTATTTATCATTAATTATTTTTCCCTACGCAATTTCTTTTGGTAATTAATATGGTCAGGATACTCATAAGATTCCTTTGATATCCCTAATCTAATAACAGTTAATTATTGTTCATCTGCCCAACCTAAAACCACAACTGGTACAATTTTATTGTTTTTAAGTTAGTTTTGAGGACAAATCCAATAGAAGTTCTAAAAATAATCAAGCGCGGTTTCGTCTTAATTACCTAGTAAAACGATGCTCTTATTGTTCCACTTTTTATAAACGTATTTATTGAGCTGTCGGCCCTACACTTTGCGACGAAGGGAGTTTAAAATATCTTTTAATAACACATTAAAGAAGTTTTTAATAATGTATTTAAAAAAAAACATTTAATAATTTTAATAGGCGGTTCAGGAGATAATGCGCTCGCCTCTCAGAGAGATTGCGCCCGCCTCTCAGTGAGGTGTCCAGGGTTGGAATCCCAGCAATGGCTGGTTGATACGAATTCCGCACCCAACTCGCACCAACCACAGTGCTGATCTAAAATATCCTTAAGTTTAAATTCTTTGGTTCTCCTCACACTATTGCATTGATTTATTTTGCTTTTGCTATATTAATACAATATTAGAAAGCACTCTTATTTTGCAGATATAATCGTGTGAGCTGATGACAAGATTATATCTTTTTTATTTATTTTCCGGCTTTTCAATTTTTTTTCTTTTTAAATACTTTTTTAATAATTTCATAAACATATATATATATGCATATACATATAAGAAAAATTATTTATAATCATCGAAAAAAGTTTTAGTAGAAGAAGAAAAAGTGTTGAAATGTTTGCATACATTTTTTCCTCTACTGAAGTGGAAGTTCAAGTTCATGCAATTTACAGAATTAAGTAAGAGGAGGAAACTAAAAGTTTGAATTCGGCTAGATTAAAATATAGATACAATTTTGAACTAACTACTTAAAGCGTGGAAATTTTCTTAAGAAATAAAAAAAAAAAATAGTAAACATAAAAATTAGTATTAAGATCAGATTTTAAAAAAAATTCATGTTTTTAAAATTTCGAATTAAAAATAGAGACATTCTTAGTTTGATTAACCAATCCCGAGAATTAAAAACATTTAAACCTTTTGCGGTTGGACCCTGACATGACGGACATACTAAAATTTACATTCATGTTTTATCTACAATTTACGGATTCGAAATAAAAAGAAAGTCAAACAAATGACTTTTTTAATGTAGCTTTTTGACTACTGCCATTAAATGACTGGACTGACAGTCAATCAATCATATTGACAGGCCTTCTAAAAAAACAGAACACAAGTCGAATGCTTGTTCCATATTCTGTTGACAGTCACACGCGAAATTTTCACTAATTTCTGAAAGATCTATATAGCTATAAGACGAATATTTAATTAATTTCATAAAAATATAGCAAAAAAAATATAGGTATGAAAGAAAAAAATATAAAATTTGTTACTTAGATAACCGTAAGGCCGTCACGAATTCGCCGATCACAGTTAAAGAGCATGAACTTGAATTCCGAAACTGAAACTAAAAAAGGTTTCAGTTTAACTTCGTCTGCTAGTTTCCTTAGCTTCTATCGTTCGTATAGAATAAACCTTGTTCGTAAAATATAAAATGTCATAAAAATATATTACAATTGATTATAATAAATACATAAACACTTACTAAGGCTCTTCGAATTTTTCAGAGCATTCGTTTTCCGTCTGGTTTGTCCGAGTGATGAGAACCAGTTGCCGAATTTATGGTTTCCGAAATTACTGAAAGTACTGCTCTTGTGGAGTCCCATCACTTTGAAATCCATAACGCACAAACACTTTATTTCGAACAATTCACACCATTTTAATTCAATATACACTGCTTGTCAAGGATTCAAAAAAAGCTCTAAGCCTAAAACAGACATTCAATCGGAACGAGCAGACGACATTTCCTTCTTTTTTTCCGAACGATTCCGAAATTCAATTCTAGTAGTTTGGAACATATTCGAACACAAAACAATTCCCATTGTTAATTCGATTTACAAGTTATAAGTTATTGTTAATTATTTCGGGTTCCGTTCTTATTTTGACGAGGGAAAAAACAGTGAAATACTGTAATAGAACAGTTCCGTTCGATCGGGATGCATCACTGTTGAGTGCCGCAGCATCTGAGGAAGGAAACGCGAGTGACAAACGTGTGTTGGAGGGTTGCCGGAAAATGCAGCTACACTCAGCGCCATTCACAAGATGTGCTCATCAGAAGCCAGAAAATCGATCACAGGCTCGGGGCTTCATTAGAATGGTACAGCACTGCTTTTTTATTTAATGTTCTTTTTTTTCTTCTTTTTTTAATTTTCTACTTCTGAATCAACTCTGACGTGAGAGAAAGATCCAACTCTTGTTCATAAAACACACGGTTAAGAGAGTCGTCAGCCAAACGACGCGTAACGTAATTTCTTCGGAGGTACGGAAAATAGAAATAACTTTGAAGTTCTTTAAAAAAAAACTAAATAAACAAAATTACATCTAGGAATGCAGAGAATCAGCATTTATTTCAGCATATTGATTTTCTTATAAAAGGGTTTGCTTATAAGGAATTAAAATGATAGATGTAAACTAATTTTAATTTGCATTAACATAATTTTTTATAAAAATAATCATAATTTGCAGAAACGAAAGGTTGGGTGTCAACATCGGCTAGATCAGTGGTTACCAACTGGCGGCTCGCGAAGCCTTTTTTTGTGGCCTGAGAACTAAAATATATTAGTTGTCATTTTTTGCGGACAATTTTCGTAAAAAATCTATATGGGTTTTAAATACTTTTAAGTTTTATATCTTAACAATTTGATATCAGTTGCACATTAATTGTTTAATACATAGGTGCACAATTAAAGTTATTGTAGCCAGAATTTTTTTTAATATGCAATTAAACATTTTAAAAAATCTACTTCTTATTTTAATTTGTAATTCAATGCTTTTGTTTCGTACAACTTGAAAAAAATCTGACAATAATATTTAATGTTCCTTCAAACATAAAAGAGTCCTATATAAAATTTTGATAAAGTTGCGGCCCGTCATTTGACTGGTGTTTTAAATTGCGACCTCCAGCCTCATGTAAGTTGGAAACCCCTGGGCTAGACGCACGAGAAGTAAACAACTCACATTTGAAACTTCGTTTATGAGTACGTTTGTGTACTCACATTTAGGACTTAATTTAGTCACCAATCCAGGGTCTAAATATCAAGAAAATTATTTTGTCAAGGTTTAAAAAGGCTGAATAAAATTAATTGCCAATCAAAAACCCATTTTAATTATGATTTAAACGTCCCATATGAATGTAAAGACTGATTTACCTTTTGATGTGAATACTGTTTTATTTGGTTGGTTACGCTGTTTCGATAGCGCTCCTTAAGCTATAGTATTATAAATTTTTTTTCTACTTATGCTTTAAAATGTATTATCAAAGTCTGTATTTTTTTTTTTTTTTAAACTTCAAAGAAATTTTAACAGTTGAAGTTCAATCCGCTTTGGCGATTAAAAACCCTTAGAAAAAAAAAAGTCATTGGCTGCAATAGGTTTTAATTGCTAACACATTAATAACAGAAAATAAATGACAATTTGATTTTAACAAAGCAGTTAATTAATTTGTTTTATTGTCCATGAAAAGCGTAATGGGACAATTAACATTTTTTTTCTTAATATTAGAAATATGTTTATAGTTATTGAACATTTTAATAACAAATTCGACACCCGGTGGCTGAGTGGTCGGACCCGCTCCCGTGCGGGTCCTGGGTCTGGGTATGATCCTCGGGCCGGGCAAGGTTGACTCAGCCTTTCATCCTTTCAGTGGGTCGACAAATGAGTAATAAGCATGGTTGGGAACTAAACACTGGGGGTTTCGCGTTCGGCTGACCACCTAACCGGAACATCTGCTCCTGCACCCCAGAGCCCATGATCAAGAAAACTGAGATGGGGACAGAAGGCCTTGGCCCTCTATGGGCTGTCCCGCCACTGAGTTTAGTTTAGTAATAACAAATTCGCCATGATACCCCGACTTTGTTAAATAAATCTGAAAAAATTCTAAGTATGACTATGTAAAAGACAAAAATTAAATCCACTCTTTTTGCAATCTCAGTTTATACTTACACGTATTGCCGTGATTTTTAAATGTATGACTTTAAATATCGAGAAATTCTTATTCAAAAATACGGACCAGCTGGTCGCTGGAAGCGGTTTGAATTAAATATTTTTTTAGTATATTATCAAACCAATATATTTTTTCCACACAATGTCATATTTATTAATTTTACCCCTCAAAATTTTTAACAGCCATTTAAAGGATAAATAGCGTGTAAGAAAAAAAAATTTAAACTTTGATTGTTATTACTAAGTTTCCAAAATGACCTCATAGATTTATTATTTTAAAATTACTTATCTAAAAAGAAATCTGGCAATAGTGCACATACTTCTAATAAAATTTCTGCATAACAGTCGTTTCGTTTACAGTTCGTTATACAAAAGAGTTTTGTTTCATATATCCGACATTGGCTCTTTTCTGAATAGCAGCAAATTTGAAAATAAGATATCATTTTCTGCCGAATACTTATCGCTTCCCATTTTATTTCATTTCTTCTTGAATAATAAAGGAGTCGCCTAATTTCAAACGATTAATGAAATAAGCATTCGATCTTCGAAATATTTTCATCATAAAATAAGATCTTTTTCAATGATAGAATAAAGACGGAGGCTCACCTTTAAATTTCCTAAACAGCCCACTCTGTATGGACCTTTTCCTTCTTTTCTCGAAATAACTAACTTGATCTATCACAGAATTTGACTCTGGAAGGCTTGGAGACTCTGAAAAGAGATGGGGAATGGTTTAGTACTCACTACTGGAAAAAATTAGAGAGATTTTTCAAAGCGTTACAGATATATATGTAAATATATAGCGTCGTTGCTGATAGGAGGGACAAAAACAGGTCTTGGGCAGAGAAACGGGGCACAATATTTATTTAATAATAATTAGAGAGAGAACAATCATCCAAGTGACGCCGGGATAGTCTGGTCAGTAGGGCGCTGGGCCCATGTTCGTGGGTCCAATCCCCGCCGAGCGAAGACTCCCCGTGTAGTAAATAGTGACTGATGCACGTTAAATCTGACGAGTCGCAAAGACCTCCATGTTCCCATAACACATCAATACCTCTGCGCTATATAGAAACTGCCAGCATTGAAAGTGTTTTTCTTTATTATTTTAAAAATGGATTTTAATAATTTTTTTTTTTAATTATTCGTAGAAGTAGAAAATATTTTACAATATTAAATTTATTTATATTTTAAAAGGTTGTGATATTTTAATTCATCCTATTCGTCTAATGAGATATTTATCCAGAGAGTAACCAAAAGTAGATGAGAAATGAGCATAACTTTTAAAATAAAATTTTTCACAAGTTATATGTATAATATTTTATTATATTTCACAATCAAAGATTAAATATTTCAATTATATCCACTTAATTTTATGTTTATTTAAATGCAAGTGTTTGTATAAAACACAATGTATTTAAATAACGAAGAAAGACATATGCCACCAAGAGTAGTTTATAATAATTTTTCCATATTTTCTGATAAAATTTACTCTTCATTTGATATGTAACTGAGAAACCATGGCGACATTGAGCTTGAATAAAAATAACAATAGAGCAATTCCACTATTTACAATCGTTGTATTTGCAATTCCACTATTTAGAATAGTTGCATTTGCAGACATAAAAAGCACATAACTCAATTGAAAAAATTCGAGCAGTACTACTAATGGTGTCTTTTACACTTATTGCAACTTTTAAAAGTTTCGTTCTTTAAGCAAAAAAAATTATGAAATTTTAAAAAAAAATTAAACGTATGAAAGATACAAAAAATTAGAATCGATATAAATTTCAATAAATGTTTTTAATTTTAAAAAAAAGTTTTAAGTAAATTAAAGATATTAAAAATAGGAATAAATGGAAATAGCACCAACTTATTTTTGAAAAAATTATTATAACTGCTCGAATTTTTTTCAGTTGAATTATGTGCTTTTGAAGTTCGCAAATATGATGTTCCAAAATGATGGAATAGCCCTATGGTTTTATTTATTTAGTGATTAGTTAATAATAATTAATAAATTATATTAACTATTTCAATAAGTATAAATAAATATTTTAGTTTTAGTGTTGTTGCTAAATAATATTAAGTATTTTTAATAAATTTTATCTGAACTTGGATAGGTTATTGAAAAAAAAAATAGAAACATTAATTTAAAAAAAACAGATTTCAATAAAAAAAAAATCTCGAGAGAGAGAGATTTTAGAAATCACTATTTAAATTTTTTCTAATTTTGAAAACAAACGATGTTTAAAAATCGTGTAAAAGGTACGAATAGTGAAATGGTGGGGCTATAAGAGGATAAATTTTGTCCCTTACTTTAGCCAAATTCATGAAATATTCTAAAGAAAAACGCTTTTTCTCTTTTACATATTCCCAATTTCATTTGTTAGAGGCTCAGGGGATATAAAGTTCGCCTTCCAATGAGGTGAACTGGGTTCGAATCCCAGCGATGGCTGGTCGATACGATTCGCACCGACCACAGTGCCGACGTTAAATTTCCTCATTGGTAGACGGATCACGGGTTAGAGTTCCCTGGTCGTCTGGCTAACCGGAGGTTTTCCTCTTTTTGTAACGCGATGCGGGTTAGTTTCATCAAAACATCCTCCACGAAGGCAAATTTCTCCTACTACTTGATCCAGGAGTTCCCTTGTCTTCTGAATTGGGTTCAAAATTACAAGGCTACGGAGTTGAACATTAGCAGTCGTAAATCCGAAATTTTGTCGGCTGTTCAACGATGGTTATAAAACATAAAATAAATTTTCATTCGCTAGTATTGAGTATTCAAATTTTCATTCAATTAACCTAAAAATTGAAAAAGATGTCCATTAATATTGTAATTTATTTTGCACGTAGGTTTTTTTTAGTATTTTTTTTAAAAACAAATTGGCGATATATTGAATAAAATGTCCTTAGAAAAAAAAACGCTCATCATTCAACGAAAAACAATAAACGCAATAAAAAAAAAACATCTAAGTGTAACAGAAACTACATTTAGTACCAATACACTGTTAAATTTTAAACAGAGTGGAATAAAAATTAATGAAGTTACTTTAATCATTAGGTAAAGTTGCGAAAATCTTTTATTCAAAGTAAAATTTAAATAAAAATGCCTAGTGCGGTTGATTTAAGTTTTAGCATTATCCAAAATTTAAAACGACGCTGAAAAACCTTCTTTTAAAGTCTCGCACCATGGGGGCCGCAAAAACTGAGTTCGTTCCTTGGCACTGTAAAACACTAGCTACACCTTTTGATATTGAATTTTAGCTTTTGAAATTCTAAAGTTGAAGTGTGGATTTTCAACTGAAGATTCAAATTGTGAGTCATACACAGAAGGGGGGAAAAAGGTGTGATTCATCCAGTTCGGGGGAATGTAGAAAAGGAATGCAGAAATCAATTATGTGCATCGATTGGAAAGAGAAGCGGGGATAGTTTACTCTGGAAATAAAAGTACCGGTTGAATGATAACTTTATAAACAAGTTTTAGCGAGGCATTAAAAATAATATTTTAGTATTTATTTTTGCAAGAGTAAAGAAGGTAACATGGTGTTAATTAGGCCGAAATGGATTAGAAAATGCGCTTAACTATTGAAAAATACTGATAAACGAGATTCAGAGGTTGGTTTTTTCAGTTTTCGAACTACAATCACACAAAATGACTAAAAAAAATATATATCTAAGATAATTTTTCGCTCCTTTGAAGAGATTTTTAAACTTAATTTGAATATTTCGAAATCATTATTAATAGATATCGAAACATAACTACTAAGTGCTAATGCTTCAAACAATCATTGATTTATAGAATTGTTTAACTGAATTAGCAACAAGAGAATCCATTAGTGGTGCCATCTATGTCCTTCACTCCTTTGAAGTATCTCTTGCCGCGCCGATCCTCCTACGTCACTCTAGTGACGTCACTATGGCGCAAAGCTCGCACTTTTACTTCAAGAACGGAGCGTTTGGCCTTACTAGCTCTAACTAATATTGGATCATTTCTTTTTGCGAGATATTCTAAGACATTTGTTATTTTCTATAATGACTTTCCTCAGTTTTTGCAGTGAATTTACAAGAATTTAAAACTATTATCGAAATGCCAGTTTGCGCGATTGCAACTTGCAAAAATTCTGATATAAAAACAAAAGGAAAAAGTATAATTTTTCGCGTGTTCCCTAAAGTAAATGAACAACTATGTAAAGAATGGATTCCGAAATGACACAGTTAATATAAAACAGCAATACGTTTATTCTGTCGTAAAGAACTTTTATAAAAATTCATTATCTAAATAGAAACCGCCTCGTTACTTCATAAAGAAAGGCAGGTGAAAAGAATTAAAAAATAGATAAAGTCAAAGAAAATTAAAATGTAAGTAAAAAGTATAAATAAAATATATAGTATATAGTTGAAATTCTCCTAATTTCATAACATATTTTTTAATGTAGTTATTCTAAATATTTATGATTTTTTTTAAAAATTATATTCTCTTCAATTTAAATATCTATAAATTATATCATCGTAAATTTAAATGTCTATAAACAATTGTAAAATTTCTAATGTCATTATGAACCTAAATTATTATTTTGTTTCAGTAATTAGCGTTTAAGGTTGATGTTTCCTAATGATTAAGTATGAACAAATTGCTATTAACGACATATTTTAAAATCAGGGATTCTAAATTTAACTTAACTTATCTTTATAAAAGAATATGTAGATAAAAAAAGTGTCGATATATGCCTTCATTTTTCTTAATAGTTAAAGTTAAAACTGAACTTTTTAAAATAAAGTATTTATCGTGTCATTTTCACCAACTAGCAAAACATTTTTATAAGTTTAAAATGGTATTTTTTTAATATAATAACCAAGAAAGTTTTTTTTGAACTATGTTTATGAACGGAAATAATGTGTTAATTACGTAAAGTTTGAAGGCTAATAACCAGAAGAAGTCTAACTTATTTTTACAAGAGAAAGATGCAAAGTTATCATATCTTTGCTTGCGATCTCCGAGATCTGTAGACACAGTGACGTCATGAGGAGGGAAATCGTAGCTTCAGCTCTAAGAGCGGAGTGAACTAGCCCTTGTATTCTCTGGTCCTCACCACCGTGACTCAGTTCAAGTTCGGATATGAAACCTTAAACATGACTTTTCCCCTTTCCCCGAGTTTTCTTAAATTTTAATTCTTTTTTTTACTTTTTGTTCGAATGTAATTTATATTTGTATCTGTGGTTATAAATTAAAATTCTTTATTAAGTGTACTTTTAGTCACTTTTGTCCTAATTGACAATTAATTTGAGCTAGCCGATATTCCTTAACACTACATTAGTAATTACAGAATTATTTAAATTTTAACTTTAATGCCTCCTATTACAATTAATCGTAAGAGCGACCACAATTTTTGATTTTCAACTTAACCCCTTGACATACGAAGACACCTGGGAGACGTCATTTGTTTCTTATGTCAAAACAATAATTGACGTGTCTTAGACGTCTTGACAACATTCCGTTGCGATTTGTTGTTTACAGTGCAATCAAAGATCATTTCTATATCAAGAAATTAATAATTCCGCACAGTTTAGAGTTTGTTTAATGATATGTCAAGGGGTTAACGTTGCTATTTCATTTCCCCCTGCAAATGGCAACGATCTCCGAACAAATGGGTTCAGCCAGGGCCGCCTCAAAAGAAGGGGCCGTCTCCTCCTTCTTTCGAGGCGGCCCTGGTTCA